CCCAAACCCCATCCCAGGCCCCAAATCTCACCCCAAACCCCATCCCAGGCCCCAAATCTCACCCCCAAACCCCATCCCAGGCCCCAAACCCCATCCCAGGCCCCAATCCCCCCAATCCCAAACCCCCACCTCCCATCCTGACGCCCCGATCCCGTTGCCAGCCTTCATGCGGGAGGAGATGGCGCGCCGCGAAGCCGCCGAGCTGCAGCGGGGCCGCCGGAAGCCGCGCAGCCCCCACGGCTGGGGCCTGCTGCTGGCCCTGTGGCTCCTGGCCTTCTACGAGCCCGTGGTCACCGAGGGCCACCTGCGCCGCAAGAACCTGGAGTTCATCTTCATCCGCTTCAGCGCCTGGGAATTCGCCGGCTGCGACAAGCTGTGGGCGGGGCTGGTGACCACGCTGTGCCACCGCGTGCGCCAGCACTTCGGGGCGCTGCCGCTCAGCGTCTTCCACGTGCTGGGCTCGCGGCCGCGCTTCGCCTCCGGCCCGTCCAGCCGGGAGTGGGTCCTGAAGAGGGGAACCTGCCTGCGGCTGTGGGGGCTGCTGCTGGTGCTGGCCGTGGGCATCGCCATCCTGCTGGTGGCTCTGCTGGTGCCGGGGATCAAGGACCACCACGCGCTGAAGGTGGTGGGCAGCGCCGCCGCGTCGCTGTCGGGCTCCTCGCTGGTGCTGGGGGCTTTGTCCATCCTCAAGAACTTCCTGGTGAGCGAGAAGAAGAAAATCGAGCGCCTGACCGACAGCGACCGCTTCGCCGGCCAGCTGGGCTTCATGAGCAAGGTCCGCGGGGAGGTCGAGGTCCTGGTGGATTTCTTGGCTTTCATGGAAGTCTTCGAGCGCCGGCGGCTGCGCGTGGTGATGGAGATCACCGGGTTGGATCTCTGCTACCCGGAGAAGGTGGCCGGGGTGTTCAACGCCATGGCCACGCTGCTGTCGGACGCCAACGCTCCCTTCATCTTCCTGCTGGCCGTGGATCCCGGCGTCATCGTGCCGTGCCTGGAGCAGACGGGCTGCATGAAGGGGCTGGCGGACAACGGTTACCTGTACCTGAACCGCGCCGTCACGCTGCCCTTCTCCATCCCCGGCACCGGCTGCCGCTCCCGCCTGCGCAGCGTCCAGGCCGCCATCCGCACGCGGGAGGATCTCATGGCTCGCATCATCGCCGGCAACGCCGCCGCCAAAACCGCGCCGGCGCGGATCCCCGGCGTTCCGGGTTGGAAAGAGGCGGATTCCGAGGCGGCCGTGTGGATCCGCGAGGCGTTCCGGTGTCTCCGCGACGCCTCGGACGTTTTGTCGCGGTATCTGCCGGAGAACGGCGCCAACGTCCGCCGGATCGTCAACACCATCCCCATCACGCTGCGGCTGCTGCTGCACCGCTCCGGCGCCGCCGGGACGCTGTCGCCGCGCGCCGCCGCCGCCTGGGTGGTGCTGGCCGACCGCTGGCCCTGCCGCCTCAGCTGGACCCTGCAGTGCCTGGAGGATTCCGGCCAGGGCGCGGCCACGCCGGATCCGGCGGGAAGATCCCTGTGGAGCGTTTTCCAGGATCACGTGGGCGAGCTGAGCGCGCTGCGGCAGCCGCTGGGGAAGGTGCTGAGCTTGGACGGGGATCCGGAGCTTTTCCAGGCGTTCCTGGCGCGGGATTTTCCCTTCGGCGCGGCCGAGGCGCGGGAGCTGCTGGGGGTGACGGTGAACCTGGACCATTCCATCCGGCACCAGATGGGGCTGCTCCGGGCGCTGCAGAGGCTCGGGAGGACGGCGCCGGTGTCGCGGGGGGTGCAGTGCCCCTGCGGACGGTGATCGACCCCGGATCGTCCTCGGGATCGTCATCGGGATCGTCCTCGGGATCGTCATCGGGATTGTCATTGGGATTGTCATCAGCATCATCAGGATCATCAGGATCGTCATCGAGATCATCGGGATCCTCATTGGGATCATCAGGATCGTCATCGAGATCATTTGGATCATCGGGATCATCACTGAGATCCTCATCAGGATCATCACTGAGATCCTCATCGGGATCATCGGGATCATCACTGAGATCCTCATCGGGATCGTCGGGATCATCATTGGGATCATCAGCATCATTGGGATCATCACTGGGATCATCGGGATCATCACTGAGATCCTCATCGGGACCATCAAGATCGTCATCAATATCATCGGGATCATCGAAAAGATCACTGGGATCATGAGAATCGTCACTGGGATCCTCACCGGGATCATCGGGATCATCATTGGGGTCATCAAGATCCTCATCGGGATCATCGGGATCATTGGGATCATCATCGAGATCCTCACTGGGATCCTCATTGGGATCATCGGGATTATCAGAACCACCACTGGGATCATCATCGAGATCATCATCAGGATCATCACTGGGATCATCACTGGGATCATCGGGATCATCACTGGGATCATCACTGGGATCATCGGGATCATCATTGGGATCATCGGGATTATCAGAACCACCACTGGGATCATT